CAATTACAAGCCATAACTATGCAGAAATCTAACATCAGAATATTTCATAGATAGCTTCAAACTTGTCTCTCCATATTTTAGATAAATCAACCTCTGAACTTATGATAACTATTGTTGAACAAGTAATTTTGAAAGAACTCGTCCAAAAGGAATAAAGAAAATTTGTCCCTTGTGAAAGGAAGAAAGAGTCTTCTTCAAATAGTCAAACATAACTTGAGGAAGATCAATATGCAAGTCTGAATTGAGAAGTAGAAGCAAATATTTTTCAATAAGGTCCACAGGGTCTAAATTTTATCCTTAGGAAGTAAGTTTGAATTCAGAATCTAATACCAAACAACAACATCAAGACGAAGATTTGAGACCACTGATGTATTAGATGGATCTACAAAGATACGCCAAGTAGGAAGATAGTGTTCTCAAACAAGAGTTCCTGAGATTTCTCCAATTTCATCACAACTGATCACATTAGCAATCGCTTTAGAGGTTACTATTATAGAAACACTAGTTACTTTAGAAAGAATAACACACTCAGAATTTAGTTCAACAATGGAAGTATTAATCCAAAACTCTTTGACTAGATCTGGATAAGTGAAACCACTGAGCATCTCAAAGTATCCATTCCATCCTTATTCACACACAGTCTTCTAGAAGTTAAAGCATAACTTATGCAACTCATCAAAATCCACAAACTTTTCATTGATGAGTTAATTCAAAGATTCTATTCAGAACCAACAAGAAATATTTCGTTAACAGTGAACCAGGATAAACCAATCGTGTTCTTTCTTTTTGTGGTTCATACCTTTGTTTGTGTGTGTGTGTGTGTGTGTGTGTGTGTTACAAAATCTGTTGAAAATTTTGTAAAATCCAATTCAAACCCATTTTCTTGTGTTTTTCTCAACCTTCAAAATGTGGGTAGTTTTTTTACTATATGAGGTTCTTCTCATTTTATTCTATCTCATTTTGAATTGATTCCTCTTATTTGAGCTCTTTGATGATTTATAATTTATTTAAAGCTTCCTATAAATTATCGAAAATATTTGTATCTCCAGATTTCATTCCTAGGTTAGGGTTCCAACATTTGTCTTTAAATCTAAGATACTTGTTGAAAATACATCTTTTGAAAAGATTTCTAAGAGTTTTAATATTAGAAAACCAATTTTAAAGATTTTTTTTCATAATTGTTTGATATCTCTAAATTTTTGTCTAGTGCGTTCATCCTTTTCCTTTTGATCTCAGTAGTATATTTATAAATCATTTCAATGGTGTCCTACATTTCCTTAATAGTGATACAATTAGAAGCATGTATGTACTCTCGAATGCTTAATGCATTAATCGTCCAATAATTAACTTTAAAACCTTGTTGAACTTTTTGATTTTCTGTATGGTCCATAAATCTTTTGGTTTGTTCACCACTTCATTATTTATGAAATGAGTGAGAACCAAAATGAAATCTAAAATATAATCTCACAAATAAAGATCAATAGTTTCTAAAAATATTTTTCATTATTTCTTTTCTTATGATGTACCATACACCGTCAAATGGTAGGGGCTTGTTCAAAGAAAGATATTTATTAAAAAAAATGTATGAAATCATCATTCTACCTCCTGAGATTGTTGTCTTTAAAAAAGAATTTCAACTCTGATGTCACTTTTTGAACAAACGCCGCCAAACACAAGAGGGAAGCTAAATTGTGATATTTGGTTTTTAAGAACTTTTTGCAAAAGATTAATATTAAGTTAAATGTTTTGAGAAAAGAGGTAGGAGCATAAATTTAGGAAGGAAAAACCAAAGATATAATTTGAAGAGATAATGTTAGAGAGATCATACTAGATATTATATTGGTTCAACCTTATATCACGTGGCATACTCCATTTTCCAAGAGTTTTCACTTGATATTTACATTATTAATAATTTGAGTTTTTACACAGATTCAACTCAATGACCTACCCTACACCAAGTTTTTTACGGGTTTATTTTGCAACCTCCAAGTCAATTAAATGCATAAGAGAACTAAACTCTTTAATGAACGAATTAAACACGTCAACAGAATAACACAACTCTCATATCAATTTTTTTTACTCTCTCAGCACTAGGACAATGTGAAGTAAATAAAACTATTTTTAGCGTGAGAATAAGTGAGATAAGATAGTATATAGTTCATAAAAGTTGTGCTTAGAAGAGAGCATAACACTTATTTATATATGAAAAAATTTAGCACAAAAAGACAATAATTTGTAGGAATGATCGTTTCTTTAATTGATTAGAAATAGCAGGTTAACCAATAAGAGTAAGTTTGAAAAAGGAAACCTTAATTCAAGTTCAATCCTTAATCGATTAATTTGTTTCCTAATTGATTAAGAGACAAACTCAATTCTAAAATGATTAGAAGAATGATGTAATCGATTAGACAATGAGTTTAGATTTTTTTAATTGATCAAAATTGCTTCTTAATCGATTAAACACTTAAAATGGTTGTTTTTTAGAAGAAAAAAATGAAAAGTAGATAAAGAAATTAAAAATGTTTTAGAATGTTTGTGCGTTGCTTTAATACTTCAAGATTTAATTTTACTTATTTTATATATAATTGATGAGAAAGGCTAAAACAGTTAAACATAAAATTATGTGAACTTTCAAATCTTCGGTTCCTTTTGATGTTAAACTTCGAATTTGATTTGTCTTATTTTACTCTTAATATTGAAATTTGATCAACTTTATTTTTTGATAGCTTCTAATCTAATGATGGTTATAATTAACTTATACATATTCAATTGTCATCACGAAAATCTTAGAAAATATTAATTTGCATAACACATAGAACATGCTTGATACAGATGATATTATAATTATTTTTGTCAAGGGAACAAACACTTTATTAATACAATTCATAAAAAATTTCAATGACTACGGAGAATCATTAGGTCAAATTATAAAAGGGACAAGAATAAATTTCATTGATGAACAATGACAAAATCAAAGGGTGTCTCCCATCCACACGTGATATAAGTCAACTAATAAAATTGATCATACATGGTATGATAGTTTATTCCTTTCAAATTTACATGTGGCAAAAAAAAGTGCTAGATCAATTAGATACTTGGTTCATAAATTTTATTTGGAACGTTGTCATAATGAGTAAGAAGGTATATATAATGGCCTGAAAAGGGGATTAGTGTTGAATGTAATTTAATATTTAAGTTAGTTTAATTTTAAGTTTTATTAATATTTAAGTTTAAATTTGTATTTGAGTTGAGTTTGCATTTAATGTGCACTTGAGTTTAGGTGAATTTATATAAGCCTAAATGAAAGTGAATTTGTAACAGATTTGAGCTTTGCATTTTTTAAATTAAAAAGTTAGTTGCACACCTCTCTCTTACTGCAACAACAGTAATAGACAACACAAAACGGATAATTGACATAGAAGAGAACATAAATTATTGGAATATTATTTGTTTGGAATAACAACTTTAACGATTTGTTAAACATATATAATCAAGCAAGACAAAGAATCAAAAATAAAGTTATTGACATGATTAGAGTAGGTAATTGGATAATACCACAACTCATCACAAATCAATTTTCTAATATTGCTTCCCAAATATCCAAAGGGACTTTTAGACGATAAGGTAGTATGGGTCCACTCTAGAAATGGGCAATTAATAGCTAAGGACACATATTTGAGACCATAAAGCAGTAAATTGTACAATTTATTTGGCAGAGTTTCACCTTTTATCATAATTTAGAGACTCATCCATGGAAAAACCCCGTGTGACGAAAGTTAAAGGAAAAATGGGTGAAATCATAGTCTCGATATGTGGCCTATACAATGCACAAGCTGAGACGTCTACACACATATTTTTCGATTGCTTCTTTGCAGTGAGAATTTGAAAGAAAGTCACCTAGGGTGGTACTCTAACCACCGTATATAGATAGCTCGTAATATTTGATTAAATAGCTCAAAGACTGGCTTACATGTTGAGTTGAGTAGCATTCCAGGACACACCTAGGTTTTCTCTTCCCCTTACATGTTATAGTTGAGTAGCATTCTAAGACACACAGGTTTTCTCTTCCCTTGGAAAGGTTGAATTGTAAACCACAAGCGACATACTAGACAACCTTCAAATTGGTAGATTATAGATGAATATGTCAAAAAGCTTGACATTTTAATAGATTAATTGGATAATTTTATGTTTAATGGATGAATTTCCTAAGATTTTTTGAATAGATTGTTAACCGAGTAATTAATTATATTTTTGTCCAAATCCCCTCATTTTACCAACATGAGCGGATTTCAGAATCTAAAGTTGCACTTTAGAACAAACCCAATTTCTAGATGACTATAACATTGTACAAGATGCTAGTGCTGAACAAAAACAGTTAACAAATACTCTAAAGATCACGTGGTCATCTCCTATTCACAATAAAACAAAAATATCACCAGTAAAACTTAATACATCCCACAACTTGATAAAAACATATATGTAGATGAAAAACAGTTCATTATAAAGTAAGATAGGCACGTGCATCATCCAGACAACAAAATTTGACAATACTAGAAAGAGTCAAGAAGCACAATCCAAATACAAAATTTTACGGTACTAAGTGTGTATGAGTAGTTATTGCTACTGAGCAATGAATCCCTTGAATAATAAATAACTATCAAATTCAATTCAAACATTTAAAAAATAAAAAACCACCATGGAGCATCTTAAAGCTTATAATCTGAAGGTTTTGATGCACAAATTCAAAGCCAGAGGTTTAAACTAAAAAGTATGATCTTAGTAACAAAGTAATAAATCCACATTAGATAGGTAATCATCTCCAAGCAGAAAAACTTTCCAGTAAAGAAATTTTACATCCCATTAAACTAGAGCCCATTTCTCCCTTCCAGAAAACATTTAAAAAGGCAAGTTCATCCACTGACATGAAGATTGCGAAACCATGGATTCTCCAACCCCGGGTTTGTTGATGCAAGGGGGTTTTGACAAATGCATACAATGCCTTATTTTCTTCTACGTTTACTTCTTTTTCTATCACTTTCATCAGAACTTGCTGAGTCAGACTCTGACTCAGAACTGGTTCCGGAATCTGATGAACCGGAGCTTGCAGATTCATTATCTGTGTCAGAATCCAGAACTTGCTTCTGTTGCTGCATGATCAGACGTGGCATATTTTTCAAATACTCCCGTAGATTCTCAGTAAGACCACCAAGTCCAATGGATGTGAAGAAGTTAATGCAGAATCGTGTGTTTTTAGGGTTATCTTTGGGAAATATGGATTCAAAAGAGTCCTGCATTGTTGGATCATTTAACCTCTCATTTAACAACCGAATGCCAAGATGCTCTGACAATTCCTGTAGCATTGAAAAATGAAATAAATATCATCTATACAGAGACATGAATAAATCATAAGTACAGTACATTACATCAAACAGATTATATATAAGAACAAATAGAACAAATTTCCCACAAGTAACAATCTTGCATAAGATATATACACCTATAAAGCATGCTGCAAGAAGGGCTGAAAATGTCAGGTACAGGCACAAGGCCTGATGAAGTTATCACACCATGCTACCATTTTTCACATCAATCATGGACCACTAACAATATTTTCATGCAAAGTGCGCAAAAAACACCATCTTGGTGTAGAACAACTAATATCCATACTACTATGGCAGTGTGACAAATTGCATTGAGGCTGCTATAGCATGATAGAGAAAACAAATCTGTTGGAAATTAAAATAATTTAATTCTGGTTTTTTTCCAAGTAATTAATTCATTGCATACCAAGTTCTATGTATCTTTGCTAAATTGTATTAGTTTAATTTCTTTCTTGTAAATTGCACATAATTATTATTACTCTTGTAAATTGTAACAAAATGATTATATCTTAAATCTTATGCTGAGAACAATGAATCTCAAGCACATTCACAATCATTTTCTCTCTGTTTTTTCACATGGCATCAGAGCTCCTAATCTAAGGGACTCTACTTCCGCTAATCATTATTTAGAAATCTGACTGGGCATTATTATGCTGTCAGAACCCTTAAATCTTGACTGGGCAATACTTTCTGTCAAGTTTTTCCAATTAAACACTGTTTGTTCCTTCTGGCAGCCATTTGCAAAATTCCGCACTACTTCTGGTAGAAGTCTGTCCAGCCGCTGTTTGTACACTTTATCACATCAAAATACACTTCCAACTACCTACTTATGGAGGAGTAGATTGAAAGAATGAAGGCTTTCCTTAATAGGTTGGAGAAACCAAAAGGTATTTGTACTTTGGCATATTCAGGTATGCTTCCAATTTCATTCGGGTTTAATGCCTCAAATACACTCTCTACTTCCCTTTGGATCTTAGATTCAGGAGCTACCGATCACATGACACCTTCATCCAAGTACTTCTCCACATATCACCCTAGTGCTAGTAATAAGAAAATTTCCACTGCTGATGGTACTTTAATAACAGTGGCTGGTATTGGAGACATCCAAATAACTCCTTCCATTGTCTTCAAAAATGTCCTTCATGTCTCAAAATTGTCCACTAACCTAGTCTCTACACAAATACTTACTAAAGATTTATCTTCTAGTGTAATTTTTCACAACCGCCATTGTGTAATTCAGGACAAGGATTCAGGGAGGATGATTGGTCATGCTAGAGAAGGGACTGGCCTTTACTATCTTGAAGAACCAAATCAGCTTGTTACCACAAAGAACCACTCATCTAGCTCACTAATGTCAGAGTCACATCTCACAAGCAAAGAAAAAATAATGTTTTTTCATTGTCGATTAGGACATCCCTCTTTTGGAGTTATCAAAATTATGTTTCCATCCTTGTTTCCTAAAGTGAAAAATGAGAATCTTCATTGTGAAGTATGTGAAATTGCAAAACATAAACGTGTATCTTTTCCTTTGAATAATAAAAGATGCACAATTCCTTTTCATCTTGTCCATACTGATGTTTGGGGGCCATCCACTACTCCAATTGTGTCTGGGGCTCAATGGTTTGTTACTTTCATAGATGATTGTACCCGAGTTACTTGGTTGTTCCTTCTTAAGAAGGAATCTGAAGTAAGTACCGCTCTTCCAGTATTTTTCTCAATGATTAAAAATCAATTTGGTGCAAATATCAAAAGAATCAGATTTGATAATGAAAGAGTTCTTCAATCATGTCATTACTCTTTTTTGTGAAAAAGAAGGAATAATTCATGAGTCCTCTTGTGTAAAAACCCCACAACAAAATGGAATTGCTGGGAAAAAATGGTGGTCTTCTTGACCAAACTCGAGCATTATTGTTCAAAAATAATGTTCCAAAGTATCTTTGGGGAGAAGCTGTTCTTACAGCAACATACCTCATTAATCAGTTACCTTCTAGAGTGTTAGAATTAAGGAGTCCTATGGATATTCTTTCGTCCTATTATCCAAACATTTCAACCACTAATAATCTTGCCCCACGGGTCTTCGGGTGTGTCTCATTTGTTCATATCCATAGTCAAGGTAGGAGAAAGCTTGATCCTAGAGCTCTCAAATGTGTCTTTGTTGGGTACTCTACTACTCAAAAAAGATATAAGTGTTACCACCCTCCATCGAAAAAATTATGTGTCTAGAGATGTTACCTTTCATGAAGGAGAAGTCTACTTCACTCAACCTTATCTTTAAGGGGGGTCTCTTAGTGAAGATAAGGATAATTCTCTTGAAACTCTTATTCTTCCTCATCTTGAAATAAATTCTCATGAGATCAATTCGAGAAAAGGAATGACTGGAAATGAATCTAAAAATGAGGCATCGGTTGAAGATGGATTTGGAAGTGAATTTGAAGATGAAGCAGTGGCTGAAAACAAAATTGAGAAAGAAGCCGTGGCTGAAACAAAATTGAGAAATAAGCCGTGGCTGAAACAAAATTGAGAAATGTACAAAAAGACCACTCTATCCTCTCTCTAATTATATTTCATTTCAAAAAAATTCTCAAACCCATAAAACCTTTCTTGCAAACTTAAATACCATCCAAATCCCCACTAATGTTTTTGAGGCATTATCGGATAAAAATTGAAAACATGCTATGGATACATAAATGGAGGCATTAGAGAAGAATAAAACATGGCAGTTGGTTGCTTTGCCGGAAGGCAAGAAACCAGTTGGCTGCAAGTGGGTATATACAGTAAAATACAAGGCTGATGGGACAATTGAAAGATACAAAGCAAGGCTGGTTGCTAAAGGTTTCACACAAATCTATGGCATTGATTACTCAAAAACTTTTGCCCCAGTGGCAAAGATGAATACGGTTCAAGTTATATTATCCCTTGCTGCCAATTACGGGTGGGAATTACAACAATTCGATGTGAAAAACGCATTCTCACATGGAGAGCTTGAGGAAGAAATTTATATGGAGATTCCACCCGGATATAAGAAAAATTTTGATGTCAATTCTGTTTGTAAGTTGCAAAAGGCATTATATGGATTGAAACAGTCACCTCTTGGGCATGGTTTGGAAGGTTTACCAAGGCTATGATAACATTAGGCTACAAACAATGTAATGGAGATCATACATTGTTTATTAAACACTCCACTTCATGGGGAATAACAGTGTTGTTGGTATATGTTGATGACATTATTGTGACTGGAAATGATTGGAAGGAACAACAAGTCTTGACTCAACATTTAGCAAAAGAGTTTGAAATTAAAACCCTTGGAAGGCTGAAGCATTTTTTAGAAATAGAGGTGGCTCACTCAAAAAAGGGTATTTTCATATCTCAACAAAAATATATCATAGATGTGCTCAAAGAAACAGGTAAGCTAGCTTGTAAACCTGTGGGCAACCCTATTGATCCAAGCCATAAGTTGGGTAATGTGAAAGGTGCGGTAGTGGATAAGGAAATGTATCAAAGATTTGTTGGGAGATTAATTTACATTTCCCATACTAGGCCAGACATTGCATTTGCTGTAAGTGTAGTTAGTCAATTTATGCACAATCCAAAGGAAATTCATTTACTTGCTGCTCATAGAATTTTACATTATCTCAAGGGAACTCCCGGAAAAGGGATTTTGTTTAAAAGGAATGGAGGTGCTACTCTTGAGGCATATACCGATGCTGATTATGCGGGTTCGGCTGTTGATCGGAGGTTAACTACAGGATATTGTACATTTCTTGGAGAAAATCTGGTAACTTGGAGAAGTAAAAAGCAGAATGTTGTGGCCCGATCCAGTGCTGAAGCTGAGTTTCGAGCTATGGCACAAGGTATTTGTGAATTACTATGGTTGAAGATTATTTTAGAGGATTTGTAGATTAAATGGGATGGACCTATGAAGCTCTTTTGTGATAATAAGTCAGCAATTAGTATAGCTTACAATCCAGTTCAATAAAACGCATTGAAGTGGATAGACATTTTATCAAAGAGAAGCTTGATTGCGGTTTGATTTGCACTCCTTATGTTCCTACATGAGGTCAACTTGCAGTTGTCTTCACCAAAAGATTGAGCTGCCCAAATTTTGAAAAAATTGTGTCCAAGCTGGGAATGGAGAATACCTATTCACCAGCTTGAGGAGGAGTGTTGAAAATTAAAATAATTTAATTCTGGTTTTTTCCAAGTAGTTAATTCATTGCATACCAAGTTCTATCTTGGTAAATTGTATTAGTTTAATTTCTTTCTTGTAAATTGCACATAATTATTATTAGTCTTGTAAGTTGTAACAAAATGATTATAAATTAAATCTTATGATGAGAGCAATGTATCTCAAGCACATTCACAATCATTTTCTCTCTGTTTTTTCACAAAATCAAATTTTTATTTTCTAATAAACACATACTAGATCTTAAAGACATTCACAAGTCGGTTTTACCAGTGAACAAGAGGATGAGGCTGAGGTGCTATTCAGAATTGGCTTGCACTGAGTAAGACGGTCAAAAAAACAATGGCCTGCTAAAATATTATGGACCTGCTTGGATAGGCATGCAAGATACATAATAGCAGGCAAACAGAGAAGCCTAGCCAAGAAAACCACTGGGGTACAAGAATTTGTGCCTGCAGGGCAGAAGCCGCAGTGGCAACATTTCATACTATAAACATCCTCAATAGCAGCCTCGGTGGGCGAAACAGAAAAACATGTTGCCATGGAAAACCAGTGGAAGCAACTGCTTGGCTGCGACATATCTGCCCTAGAACATCTAGTGCACTCATCTTAAATAAGATATTGTCATCTAGATTGCTTATTCTATAATTATACTAATTGCAAGTGAATCACATATAGAATTTGGTCTAGGGTGTTTTTGAAAGGGAGTATTGATACCAAAGTTGGATTGGAACTTCTGCCATGTGACTAGGATGTCAGAAGTTCAGAAATCAGCCTCTGCAAAATGTATGGTGAGGCTGCCTATAACACAGATCCATGTTATTGTTATCAAAGAGCAGTTATGGAAGTGCTATGGCAGTATGACAGCACAGTTTATTGACAAGCCTCCTTACACATGTTACACTTAGGATATTACAATGGATGAATGGCCACACAAGACATGATACACTTAGGAAATAGTATTACAGAGAAGGTTGAGATGGTGTGGAAAAGATAGTAGACTCAAAAATGCCTTAGCTGTTTTGGGCATGAGTAGAGAAAGCCATAGAAAACCCATTAAGGAGAACTTATCAGATAAATGTAGCCTAATAGTTAGAGGCTAAATGGTGTTAAAATTGAGTCATTAGCCATGATTCATCATAGGATATTATGGCATCATTTGATCCATGTATCCAACCCCAAAGTAGTGGTAAAATGCTAGGATTTGGTGATTTTGTTTTTGATATTGTCTTCGTAATTTTGTTTGTTAGACATAATGAAATTTCTATGTTATAAAAAAATGCATTGCATTTACAGATTCAAAATCCCTATATCACATCTTAAGCAATCTAGAATATATGTGTTTAAAACTAGGAAAACTTGAAGTCATAATGCAACGGAGGCACACAAAAAATGAATATTTGAGTTTAATTCAAGCACCTGGAAGAGAATCTTAATAAATATACGCGAAGAAGATGTTGTATCCTCTTCAGTCAAGCGAATGTATGATAAGACGTGCCAAGGCAGAGCAAATGTCCCAAGCAAATGAGCAAAAAATTTTGCCACATTTCGCAGTTTGTTTGTTTCAAGTCGATGGATCATGGAATATTGTTTCACAAAGCATGTCTCAAAATTTTCTTGATGCACTTTGTTAATCATGCAGAATCGCTGGCCAAGAAGACCGTAATACCGGAGATAAGTTCTTTCTTGGCTGCAACATTCCAAAAGCATAATGCACAATTCCATCTACATCAATGACACAATTTATTTAAATTACGTTTTGGCAAGTAGATCGTGTTAGCAACAGAACAATAAATTTCCAGCGAGTATTCAATTCAATGCTTACCTCTTGACCTGGCTCGAGATGAATTTTGAGAAGCTTATGACCAGCTTCCTCAAAATCTACACTAGACATGATTGTTAGATAGATAGTCCTCCGCAGATTAACAAGATTGGTTTCTGTTTCATCTTTTATTTGCATACTTTCCTCATTCTCTTCATCAGATTCATCATCTTCATCTGATTCAGCATCAGAGCCTTCATCATCATCTCCCTCTGATTCCTCTTCCTCACCCAGCAGGGATTTCTTCAACTCTTCATAACGTTTTTCATTCTCCATATAATTGGGGTCAGGTTTGAATATATCTGAGAAAACAGAACAGAAAATAATCAATCACAATGAAATATGACCACAAGTTTATATAAGTACATATAAATAATAAAAATTTAAAAAGAGAATATTTACCGAGATTAGTCTCAGGATCTATTTCCTCATCTAAGGAGACCTCATGAGTTAACTGATCTTCCTGCTCCACGAGGTCTAATTCAGGCCGAACAGCTGGATAACCCTGTAAATGCAATACAATAATCATCAAACATTTCAATTTCAAACTATACCTATAAAATGCTTTAAAAAATAGTTGATATTCAGTGTAACTGTGAATGTGTTGTTTATGTCCCAAACACTAGAACAGTGTACCTGAAACTTCGCCCTTCTTATTGCAAATAAGCCTTCAATTAGAAATTGAACACGTTTGTCAATTTCTCCTTCATGAAGAATTCCCCGGAAACGCTCAAAGATGCCTACAAAATTATAAATTTAAGGTAGGATTCATTAGTGTGATAATAACTTAAAATAAAGACCAGGGGTCATGCTGATCATATATACAAAAGCTAAGCACGCTATAAGTCTATAACTGGGGCCAGCTACATGGATCATACTACACCATTATGTTCTATCAAAACTATGAGTCTAACCATATAGTTAAAGTAATACCCACCATGAAGTCCTCTAGGTGAGAGGTCCTGCAATATTGAACCACATTCTGTGACAAAACCAACAGCTACTTCAACACTGTCATCGGTTGGCTTCTCGAGCAAAACCGTTAGTAGCTCTAGCGCAATGATCTCATGAGCCACCTGCTGATTCACCAGATGTGCTACAAACTTAACAGCAGCAAGCAATTGAGGCTACAAATGACAATAAAAAACAATTAGAAGCCAGATAAAAGAAAATAAAAGAAAATAAAAGTAAAATTGGAACGGTGACATTGATCTCAGCAAAGGAAAACACATCAGGGTGCTTAATTACACACACATACCTTGTCGTTCCGCTTATAGGCTCTTTTGAGCTGCAAAACAATCCTTCTAAGCAAAAGATCCCCAACTTCAGGAAATTTAGTGTTGACAACAGCAACCAATGCGGAAAACACATCTGTAAACCCGGGAGATGCCATCTGAGACTTCATACAGGATCTACAGAAGAGCCCTCTTCCGCGAATCAAGTTCTCAGCAAACAATTCCGGAATTATGTTCTTAATGTTGGCGGCATTGACTTTGTTTACCAGTCCATTTATACTCTTTCTTAGAGCATCCCAGGTCAGCCGTTGATACTCAGGACTACTTTTATCATCAACTTCTTTCATCATCCTTGCTAACTTAAAGGGAGGAATGTAAACACCTCCACTTTTCCCCAATTTAGATGCATCTCTATTGATTTCCGGTATCGCCGCTCCTTCTTCCTCTTTCTTCCTACTCTCTTCTCTCTCATTGTCACCATTCTTTTCAACTCGTTGGCTCCTCTCACCTTTCCTCCTATCATCATCACCGCGCCGATCCCTCTCCTTATCATTATCACCATCTCTATCAACCCTCCTATCCCTATCACTATCCCAATTTCGCTTCCTATCACGCTCCTCGTCGGAATTGTCCTCATACCGACTCTGCCGACCCCTCTCCCTCTCCTTTTCATTATCAATATCACTATCTACTCTATGCCTCCTTTCCCTATCCCTAATTCCCTTCCTATCACGGTTTTCATCCGAATCCTCCTTATGCCGATGACGGCTATCCTTTTCTTTCTCATTCCCACCCTCTCTATGTCTCCTAACCCTGTCCTTATCATTAATCCTCTTCCTATCATCTTCGTACTCTAAATCTAAATCTTCACCACGATCCTTCTCTCTGCGGCGATGCCGATCTTTCTTCTCACTTCCACGGTCGCGTCGGCCACGTTTTCTGCCTTCTTCTTTCTCTTCCCGATATCGGACAAACTGCCCTTCTTCCTCTGACGACTCTTCTACCTTACGTTCACTCCTTGGTTCGTCGCTTTCACCCTTCATTCTAGGGTTTTGCTAAGTAGCGGGGCAAACACGAAAACACAGAAGGTAGAGGAGAATGGAAATCCAGTATCGGTGGAAACGGCGGGCTTAACGAGAGCGGATAGAAACTTAGGGAAACAAAGGTTTTCACTTGGATCTGTGTAGCAAGCAAGTGTTGAAAAGAGATTTAGGGGAACAGCGGTTTTCCCTGACCTATTTTAAATTTTTTACACGAACACTCGTAAACTCTTTTATATGATAATTTTAAATTTGAAATGATTTATTTAATAGTAAAATCAACAATAATCATATAAATTTAATTGTATTAAATAATTATATAAAAAAATTTAAATATTTAAAAATAAGGATTTTATCTCTCAAATTAAGACAATGATTGATTAAAATAAAATAGATATTGTTTTGATAGGAAACCGTGAGATAAATAAATTGTTAATTTATTAAAATTAGGCAAAAATACTATATGAGTCCTTTAAGTTATTTTATTATTACAAATTATCCCTTCAAGTTTTTTTTTCTACAATTTAGTCTTTTATGTTAAGTAATTTTTGTATCGTTTACCTTTTTCACATACTTCTTTCCAAAAAAGACTTATGTGTCACAAACGAAAATAGTGTGTCATTTAACAACGAGAATGTGCCATTTTATTTTATTTTTTATTTACACGTTGATTTTTTTTGTATTTTTTAATATTTTTAATTTTTTTTAATATATTTAAATTTTGATTTTATTATTATTATTATTATTATTATTATTATTATTATTATTATTATTATTATTATTATTATTATTATTATTATCATTATTATTATTATTATTATATATATATATATATATATATATATATAATGAAATTCTTACTTTATTATTTTGTTCCTTTTTATTTGTTTTTATTATTTAATTGAATTACATGAGCATGTCATCCACAATATAATCTTCCATGAGCATGAGTCAAACCGTTCACATATGTATTAGAATTTAACAATTTGGATTCTCCATTCAATGGCATGATCATCATCATTTACCATGTATTAAATCTGAGTTACAAGTTGTTCTTTGAGTCATATTGAATTATAAGCAACAATTGATCATACTATTAACGTTCCATTGATTAAATTCAACATGTTGAACAACTTTTCTAACATTAGTAATCTAAGGTTAATAGTCATTGATATCTTGTAGATATGTAATGAATAATATGGGTTAAAAAATACAAGGTTTCACAAAAAGGAGTAACCTTTCATGAGATGGTGTTTGCCATGAGTGGTTCACTTGACCGAATTGCAAAGGTAAAAACAATGACAGTTTTAATCTCAATACCAGGAAGCCTGCTAACAACGGTTTTGTTTTGTTGAATAACATATCTGATTTACCGGAAAGGAAGCAATTCATTGTGAGCAGGTACAAGATATGAAGGATCATATTCATAATTTAGTTGTAACCAATAGCACGACTTATTTCATTCCACAGGGGGTTGGTGTCAAGGTATACATACAAGATTGTAAAATAATACTATTTCCCTCTCATGGAAGATTATATTGTGGGATGTCATGCTCATGTAATTCAACTAAATAATAAAAATAAATAAAAGGGAACAAAATCAATATATATATATATATATATATATATATAATAAAAATCAAATTTTAAATATATTAAAAGCAAGTTTAAAAAACATTAAAAAATACAAAAAATAAATAAATAAATAAATAAATATTATTAAAAAATATTTAAAAAAATAAATTAAATTAAAAACAAAATTAAAAATTAAAAATTTAAAAATTAAAATCCACATGTAATTAAAAAATAAATAGATAACAAAATAAAATGACACATCATTGCTGTTAAATGACACATCATCTCCGTTTGTGACACATAAGCGTTTTTAGAACAGAGTTTGTGAAAAATGTCAACGATACAGACGTTACTTAATATAAATGACTAAATTGTAGGGGAAAAAACTTAAAGGACTAACTTGTCATAATAAAATAACTTAAAGAAACCAAACAGTATTTTTGTCTTAAAATTAAAAATAGATTATTAGTTTTATAGTGATAATAAATAAATAGGGAGAAAAATTAAAATAAAATTGAGAGAATGTGAGAATAAAAAAATATAAAAGAGATTTGAAGTCTTAATCTAGAAAGAATTATTGGATGTAATATTTAATTGTGATTTAATTAGTGAATGTCTGAAAATGAATGTCATATGTCATGCTCTTAGAAGAGATGAAAGTGTAAAAGATTAACATTACTTGATTAGTTAAATACTCTTTTTTTAGTGTAAATAAATAGTAGTAAAAGAATAATTTAGGAAATACATGCGATTGATTTTTAATGGATTGATAGTTGGTAACCCATATTTTCAATTTTATTTTTTAAAAAAAACGGTTTCAAAAAAATTATCAATCTATTCCACTTTCCTATAAATAAAAAATTCAAACATAAAGATGTGTTTGTTTGATGGATTAAAATTGTAATTCGGAAAATATTATTTCTAAAAATATTATTGACAAAAACTTTATTTTTATTGATGTGTTTGGCAAATAAATAAAGTTTTTAAGAATATTTTTAAGTTTTATTTTAATTAAATTTTAAAAGTTAAAAAACAAATGTGCTAAAATGAAATGAGAGTGAAGAATTATGGTTTTGATTATTTCATATTTGCATAGGAATGTAAGATTTTCATTCTTTGACATGAGAATAAAAATGAAGAAATTCATGAAAAAACATATTTTTAGAAATAAAAAAAATAATTAGGCATAATTTATCAAACTTAAAAGAAACAAAGAAATATGTGAATCCAAATGTCATATTTCACTGAATAACATTTGTATACATGAAACATGCACCCCTATGTAGTGGTGACGTCGTGCGAATTTGTGACTTCGCCTACTTTTTCAACGGTAACGCCAATCAGATTGACGCTTGCATGTGGTGTTGTCAGTCTAATTGGTGTCAGTGTATATATTTTCAATGGTGTCGTCAATTCATATGGCGTCAGTGTGCATTATATATTTTTAGTATAAATAGATGTGTCTTTTACCATTTACTTCACATCTCATTTCATATTCTTTTATTTTCTTCATTGGCTGTATCATGATTGACAAAAGATATGAGCATGTATGTTATTTAGCAACAAAACCTCCGATAAAAATGTTTTTCGGAACATCCAAAGTTCCTGGCATCGTGAAAGGAGTTTGAAAAATTGGTTAGACAGAGAGATTAATAATGGGGAAAAATTAGAAGTATCGAGAGGCTTATTTTGTACATCTCAATTGTAGATGACAATAATGTTATATAGTGTATGTGAGTGTGAGTTAAATATGACAATGATGTTAAAAATGTGATGTTTGCAGCAAATGACATTGTTTTGATTGTTGTAATATCTTAGATATGTTGTAATATTAAGTTTTTTTTTATTTGTTGTTTGTGTTGTTGTTTTATGCGTATTTATGTTGGTATGATATGTCGTGTGTTGTTCGTGTGCGGAAACTGTTTGTTTTATGTGGGTTTATGTTATTTTCGTTGTAGCCAAAAGTTGTTATATGTATTATAAATACCAAGGTTTAAAAAGTTTAAAGAAAAAAATAAATGATCATGTAGAACTTGCTCTAACACTGGGACAATTTGTCCAATTGTATATGGGCTGACGACATATACACAATCTTACCATTTTATCAATTGTATCCATTTCTGTTATAATATGCATGTTGTTGGGGCAACCCTTTTTCTTCTGTCGCATATTTTTGTTGTTCCAAATTATGTCCCCTTGATATGTAGGCCAATAATCTTCCATTGCTACCAATGATAAGCTATTGTTGTACACATTGAATATTTTTATGACGTTGTAAATATCGGATAGATACTTGGAAGTATCCTTCCGAGCATGTGAACATTCTGTAATGACACGGGAACATGGCATACAAAAGGCTTGAAACTTGCTACAGTCGCTCCAACCTCTATTTAGTTGGACCTGATAGTCTCTATTTGGCCTCCCCTCATTATGATCCATTGTTTCCTTTACACTTAAAGTGTGTCTATGACGATTAAAGATTGTAATTGCATACGTGCTAGCTTTGATAATTTCCTTCTTCATCACTTTCATGCAACTTTCACTGAATAATTACTCCGACTGTAACACTGAACTCCATTTTTTGCCTCTGGTTGCAAAAAGTGATCCCAACCTAAAATAGGTTGCCCTCACCAACGTGGTTATTGGTAAGGTTTCTAATCCTTTGAAGACATTGTTCATAGATCCAATAAGGTTTGTTGTCATGTGGCCTCGTCGTTGTCCTTCGTCAAATGCCCTTGTCCACTTCTCCAATGGAATGTTATCCACCCACCTTAATGCATCCACATTTGACAATCTAAATTTTTTACAGTAGTGTCAAAATGATGGTTGAGTTAAAGTATACCCTGCATTCACAATTTTTTCTGAAGGTTCTTGCCTTTGATTTCTCGCATGAAATTTTGGTGCAATATGTTTAATGCATTAGACATGGCTAGAAGGAGGATTTTGCCATCTGTTCTCAGGATTATTGTATGTTGTAATACCCCAAATTTTACCCTTATATTTAGTCAGTCATTTCGCATATCATCTCATATGTACATTTGCTAACCACTAACAAGTTATGGAGGTGTTTGTTTTGCAGATTTGGTTCCAGGGGTATTTTGGTCATTTTATGCAAATTCTGTTAATTCCTTGAAAAACGGGCTGTTATTACGTTCTGAGGCATTTATTTGCCACTTGGGTCAAGGTGCCGGTATGTTTTGTCAGAAATATGATTGGACTCGGGGCCGTGCTTTGTTTGATGTTGAAACATTTCTAAAACAGTTTTGTTTCCTCTTAATAAGATGAAGTTGGGTTGAAAAGGAAGTGGATACTGTTAAGGTTATTTTGAGAAGTGATGTGATCAACGAGATTTTAATTTGAATTTGTTTGGATATAATCATATGGCGGGATATCATTTATAAAAGGCAAAGGAGAAGTAAGTTTGAACT